TCCACAACAAAGGACTAGCAAACAGAATCCGACAGCACACCAAAAAGATTATACATCACAATCAAGTGGGATTTACCCCAGAGATTAATGGATGTTTCAAAATATGCAAATCAATAAATGTGATACACCACATCAATAAAATGAAAGACAGAAAATATATGATCATTTCAACAGACGCAGAAAAAGCATTTGAGAAAATTCAACATCCCTTCATGATAAAAACTCTCCATGAATTAGATGTAGAAGGAAACTACCTCAGCACAATAAAAGCCATATATGAGAAACCCACAGCTAGCATCATCCTGAATAGGGAAAAGTTGAAAACTTTCCCTCTAAAAATAGGAACAAGTCAAGGATGCCCCACTCTTACCACTTCTATTTAACATAGTACTGGAAGTTCTTGCTAGAGCAATTAGGAAAGAGAAAGGAATAAAGGGTATTCGAATTGGAAGAGATGAAGTCAAATTGTCCCTGTTTGCAGACGACATGATCTTATATATAGAAAAACCTTTAGATGCCACCAAAAAACCCTCAGAGCTGATAAATTCAGTGAAGTTGTAGGATATAAATCAATATACAAAAGTTAGTAGAGGCTGGCTGGTTAGCTCACTTGGGAGAGTGTTGTGCTGGTAACAGCAAAGTCAAGGGTTTGGATTCCCTTATCCACCAATCGCACACACATACACACAAAAGTCAGTAGTGTTTCTATACACTAACAAGGAACTAGCAGAAAAAGAAATTTAAAAAAAGCAATCTCATTTATAATAGCTACCAAAAATAAATAAATAAATAAAATATCTATGAAAAAATCTAACCAAGGAGGTGAAAGATCTCTGCAATGAAAACTACAAAACACTGATGAAAAAAAGAGGGCACAAAAAAATGGAAAGGCATTTTGTTCTCATGGTTTGGTAGAATTAATTTTGTAAAAATGTCCATACTACCTAAAATGATCTACAGATTCAATGCAATCCCTATCAAAATATCAACAATGGGCTGGCCCCATGGTTCACTCAGGAGAGTGCGGCGCTGGTAGCGGGTTTGGATCCTATATAGGGATGGCCAGTGCGCTCACTGGCTGAGTGTGGTGCAGAAAACACCATGCCAAGCGTTGCAATCCCCTTACCAGTCAGAAAAAAATATATATTGATGATGTTTTTCACAGAAATAGAAAAAGCAATTCTATTATTCATATGGAACAACAAAAAACTAGAATAGCCAAAGCAATCCTGAGCAAAAAGAGTAAAGTGGGAGCCATTACACTACCTGACCTCAAAATATACTACAAAGCTATAGTAACTAAAACAGCATGGTACTGGCATAAAAATGGACACTTGGACCAAGGGAACAAGATAGAAAATAAAAAAGTATACTCGCATACTTACAGCCAACTGATCTTTGACAAGGGTGCTAAAAACATACATTGGGTAAAGGACAGCCTCTTCAATAAATGGTACTGGGAAAACTGGGTATCCATATGTAGAATGAAACTAGACTTCTATCTCTCACCATATACAAAATCAACTCAAAATGGATTAAAGACTTAAATGTAAGACCTGAAACTATAAGACTTCTAGAGGAAAACACAGGGGAAATTCTCGAGAATATAGGACTAGGCAAAGGTTTTATGAATTAGACCTCAAAAACAAAGGCAACAATGGCAAAACTAAAGAAATGTGATTTTATCAAACTAAAAAGCTCTGCACAGGGGCCGGCCCGGTGGCGCACTGCTACAGTGCGCCGCTTGAGAGCGCGGCGGCGCTCCCGCTGAGGGTTCGGATCCCACATACAGACCAGCCGCTCACTGGCTGAGCAAGGTGCGGGCGCAACACCGAGGGTTGCGATCCCATTGCCGGTCCCGGTCCGGTATGGGCGCGACACTGAGGGTTGCGATCCCTTGCCGGTCACAAAAAAAGACAAAAAGGAAAAAAAAAAAAAAAAAAAGCTCTGCACAGCAAAGGAAATAATCAACAGAGTGAAGAGAAATCCTACAAAAAGGGAGAAAATATTTGCAAACTATGCATCTCACAAGGGGCTGATATCCAGAGTATACAAGGAACACAAACAACTCAATAGTAAAAAAACCAGATAACCCAATTAAAAAATGAGCAAGGAAGTTAATATACATTTTTCAAAAGAAGATATATGAACGATCAACATGTATTTGAAAAAATGTTCAACATTGGTAATCATCAGGGAAATGCAAATCAAAACCACATTGAGATATTATCTCACTCCAGTTAGACTGGCTATTACCAAAAAGACAGAAAATAACAAATGCTGACAAGGGTGGGGAGAAAGGGGAACCCTTATACACTGTTGGTGGGATTGTAAATCAGTACAGCCATTTTGGAAAACAGTATGGAGAATCCTCAAACAACTATAGATGGAACTACCATATGACCCAGCAATCCCACTACAGGATTGAAAGGAATGGAAAGCATCATGTCCAAGGGATACCTTCACTCCAGTGTTTATTACAGCTCTATTCACAATAGCCAAGATGCGCAACCAACCTCAACGTCCAATGACAGATTGGATAAAGAAAATATGGTATATACACAAAATGGAATACAACTCGGCTGTAAGAAGAATGAACTTCTGCCATTTGCAGCAACATGGATGAGCTTGGAGAAAATTATGTGATGTGAAAAAAGCCAGGCACAGAAAGAGAAATACTGCATGTTCTCAATTATATGTGGGAGCTAAAGAAGAGAACAAAACAAAACGGAAATCAAATTAATAATAATAATAATAATAATGATAATAAGTTGAACTGTTAAATGGAGAAGGAAGAACTATGGTTACTAGGGGCAGGAGGAGGTCGGGGAGGAGGGAAATGTTGAGAGGCAGGTTAAAACTACTGCTGGATAGGAAAAATAAGTCCTATTGATGTACCGTCAACTCAGGAATCTATAAATAACAATGATTTACTGCAGATTACCAAATGACTAGAAGAGAGATCAAATGTGCACATCACTCAGAAATGATCGAGTTTTGCAAGGATGAATATGCTGATTTTCCTGGATGGATCATGACACACTGTGTACATGTATTGACATATAACTGTGTACCCCATAAATATATACTATCAATATGTTTCAATTAAAAAATTTTTTTGTTTTAAAAAGCCTTCCTACTGGCCAGTTGCCTCAAAAAAAAAAGCCTTACTTTTTTTTTTTTTTTTTCTAAGATTGTGTAAAAGAAAGGAAACATGCAAATTTAGAGTAAAGTTTAGAACTGGGAAGGAGAAAAGTTGAAAGTTGTCAGCTAAGTGATCTATCAAGGATCAAGATCACAGTGGTGGGTGGGAGGCTGGAGAAGAAAGAAAAATAATTTCACATACAAAATCTATTTTCTAATTTGAGAAATTAGATACACAGATAACTAAAAGCAAATTATAAGATGATCTTGCATCATTTAGAAACTGCTGGTTTTTCGATATTCATCTTCAGAAACTTTATGTGCCCTTTTGGAGTATCCATAGGAGGAAATTTTGCTCGAATCGCTCTGCAACACAACCAGGATGCTTATTTCTTACAGAAATTAATACTTGTGGCTTGTCCTAAGATAGTTATTTCCATTGATGGTTTACAGTCAGTTATAGATTTCACTCCTTGTTCTGTTTCCCGCCTTCTTACTACTGCACTTGACTAGTCTTAATTATATTTTCTTTGTTGCTTTGGCCACTAGGAAACTTGGAGTTACACAGGCAGGTCTTTAATGCTGAATAGATTCTTACATCAAGACTATTTGTATTAAGTTTTGCACTGACCCCTTTATTATTTTGCCTTGGGAGAGAAGGGGCAGCGAGGGTGGTCCTCTTTGCCTTTGAAAATCATTTACTGATGTATTTTTGCAAGCCATTTCAAATCCGATTTGGATCTAGGTGGAATAAAAATAAAATTTTAAAAAATGCTCAACTTGTTTATAGTGTTTTTGCTCTTCCCTTCCTTTTTTTTCAAACCTCATCTAACCATCAAAACCAGCTTTTCCATGCAACCCTTCATTCTTCATGGACTTCCTTCTTCTCTGAGCTCTTGTGTTTATAATTTTTCACTATACTAAATATGACTTTGAACTGCTCCCTGGCATTTCATGTGTATTAGTCCTGTTGTTCCAGGTTGTATATTTTTTAGTGATAGGGAGCATGGTTTATACTTTTATGAATCATCTACTGCAATGATATTGTATCAATAGATGTTTCCCTTTTACACTATAATTGTAACAAATGCTCCATTTTAAGCTTATTAACTCTCAGAGCATTCAGCACATCTTATTTAGAATTGCAGGAACCCATTTTTTGTTTGTCTACAGCAGCTTAGGCTTGTTTCATCGATCTTGCAAGACTGATTACTCAATCATTCAATTAACATTTCTTGAGCTCCTACTGTGGTGTTGAGATGAATAGTAACAGCGGAGAGAGGCCCCTTTCTGCAGCAACTTGGGGGAGGAACAGGTAGGATTGATTTTAATGTGAATCGGATACTTGGGTACCACTTACTCAATAGGCAAGACATCGAGTCTGTCCCCAAAGACAAAACCTGGGTGAAAGGCAAAAACTGGGGCCCCAACACGCCCACACCCAAATAGTGTTATATTCTGGGTGCTAACTACGGCGATCAACTCGTCTCGGTTTGCCGGGGAAAGTCCAGCGTTTTGCCAATCCTGTTAGTACCGAACAAACCACGACCATTGGTTACCCGAGCCGTAATCCGCACCCACGTCCCATGGGCACATAGGCACCCCACAGTGCCGCAAATACATCTCCCACCCGGCAGCGCACCCCGAACCTTGCCCTCCGGAGTCAAGACTACAAGTCCCAGCATGCAGCGAGCCCCCATCCGGTCCAGTCCTCCGCCGGCCGGGCTCTCTCGCCCACGTGCTCGTAGGGCGCGGCCTCCGGGAGTCCGTGCGTGCTGACGTCGGCGCGCTGACGTCGTCCTCTCATACCTCCTCGCGGACTCCTGGATTGCCCTATCCGGCTGCAGGAGGAGGGGACGTGGAAAGGGGCTGTCGTACTCAGCTCTTGTTCCCCGGAGTTTGCGAATCTCGGGTCCGAGATGGAGAAAGTCTGTGCTATTTTTGGAGGCTCTCGGGGCATTGGTAGGGCGGTGGCCCAGTTAATGGCCCAGAAAGGCTACCGGCTGGCGATCATCGCCAGAAACCTGGAAGTGGCCCAAGCCGCCGCGGGTGACCTCGGCGGTAGGTACCGCGCTGGAGTTGTCCAGTTGTGTGTCTGCAGTCCGGGCGCCTGACGTCTCCCTATCTGTAGAACGAGCGAGTCTGGCCTTTACGGCTCGGAGGTGGAGCCGCTCCGTCCCGTGGGTAGACTGCGGCTCGTGCAGACACCTCCTACTTCCCAGTACCTCGCAGAACCCCTCCTGCCGCGCTGCCAAGGGCTGCACCCTTGCGCTTTTCTTTGGGAAATCGCACTCTTTTGAGTCCCCACCAGTAAGCCCCCACCTCCCTGTGGCTAGTCCTGAACGCGAGGAACTGCTTTGTTTTGACGTCTGGTAGGAGAGAGCTACACATAACAGATAACTTTTTATGTAGGGAAAAGGGCGAGGCTGCAAGGAGTTCAGGCAGGACAGGTAGGCGTGCCAGGTACAAAGGGCTCGCTTCAGTTTCGCGGAGGCCTGTTCCTGCCCCTGCGCGAATGCACAAAGCGGTGTTTCAAAGAGAAACCCTTTTGAGTACCAGCCGGTTTTGAGATATACCTGGTTTGCTTTACTACATCCATAAGCACTCTAATAAGTTATTAAGTTGTTTTGGTGAATTTTGCAAATGGAGAATTGAAATTTGTTCTGCCAAATTCCTTTTTATTGCATTTAACGTCACTTTTCCCCTCTGCTTATTAATAATGGATTAGTCATTGTTTTGCATATTTGTCTCTCTTGATAGAGAGAAATAGGACTTTGAAAGTTACTAATGCTGCTATTTGTTTAGTTACTAGAATGGACAAAAATACATTTCATTTACTATTAGGCATTGGGGAGAGTATAGGCCTGGGGCTGCATCTTGTGGCTGTTACTTTTAAAATAACATTACTGATTCGTTTGGTATCACCAATTCAGCCTAACTGTTCGCCTGGGTTGGGAAAATATTGAGCTCTCTAAAACAAACAAACAAACAAACAAACAAACAAAAAAACACCTTAAGTAAGTTACAGCGCAAGGAGAATGTCAGTGAAATCTGCTTGCAGCTCATACTGGTTGCCATTCTGACGAAAGAGGGAAAAACTGAGCACCTTACCAGGTCATCCCAAGCCATCAGTGTTTGCTGGACTGTATTAAAACTGGTTGAGCTTTCAAGGACGGTTGTGGACCCAGCAAGTCCTCATGTGAAAGCCAAGAGTGAGATACAGAACGCCTTGGGGCTTTTCATTTCCTTGAATTCTGTGTTCCATGAGTGGTAGGTCTTCATCTAGAAAGTGTGATTTCCCAGGCGGCTTACTGTTTCCAAAGGCTTGCAGGGGCAGTGTTATTGTAAACATATTTGGCAAGGTCAGATAGAAAATAAGCAATTATTTTAGCTTTTTAAAGAAATTGTGCATTTTAGAGTATTAAGATGGTAGATTATTAAATAGGAATGCTTTATTTTTCCTCCAAAGTGTAATTTTTTTTTGTTATTTAATCTAAACTTTAAAAAAGTGGACAGTTTTGATAAGTAACAGTTGCTTTTAGTAAAAAGTTGTTTTTTTTTCATGATTGATAGTTTTAACATTTTTTTTTTTTTTTTACAGTTTCTTGTGTTGTCGCATCTTTCCTGATGGTCAGGCTTCAATAACAGTCACAATAACAGTTATTATAATATATATGCCATAATGAGTTTGTAGCACTTAAAAAAAAAAAGAAAGAAAGAAACCCTAGAGTTCATTCTCTAGGCCAAAGAAACCACTTCAACAAAAACCTAACAGACTTAGACATACATTTCAAAAAAGGAATGTAAAACCCAGAAGACTGTTGAATTGGGTAACATGGGTTCATGTGTTCCTTAAAGCTATAAATATTATTAGATGAATCTTGCAAAGCATTATAAACTCAAAAAAGCCCACCTCCCCACTTTTTGTTGATGTAAAAATAAAATTTTTAAAAATGAATTTTCTGTAGTATTATTTCTCCTTGTTTCTCACCTGCCTTCATCCTGGTTTCATTAGATAACTCCATGAGAACAGGAACCCATGACATACTTATCTTTTGTCTCTAGTTCCTAGATTAGCACAGGCTTACCCTATAGTAGATGGTTAAATGTGTATTGAATAAATTTAAAATTCAAGTTGTAATTTATAAGTAATTCTAATTTAACTTTGTTGTGTAGGAGGTCATTTGGCATTTAGCTGTGATGTTGCTAAAGAACATGATGTTCAAAATACATTTGAAGAGATGGAGAAACATTTAGGTCAAGTAAATTTCTTGGTAAATGCTGCTGGTATTAACAGGTTGGTCACAGATTTAAGTAAATTTCTAATGTCTATTTTTTAACCTTTTCCCCTAATCTGTCTTTGATTAATATAAGTTAATATAATTTTTTAAAGATTTTGCTTCTCAATATACATTGTAGTTGATTTTCATGGCCGTTTACCTGTTCCTCTCCACCCCCCCACATCATATCTGTTCACTTGACTTAAATAGTTCAAGGAATTTTTGTGGTTATTCTGTCTTCTCCCCCCCATTTGTTTGTGTGTTTATTTATTTATTTATTTTTAGCTCACACAAATAAGTGAGAACATGTGGTATTTCTCTCTCTGTGCCTGACTTGTTTCACTTAATATAATTTAAGTCCATCCATGTTGTCATTCTTTTTTATAGCAGAGCAGTATTCCATTGTGTAGATATACCACAGTTTCCTTATCCACTCATCAGATGATGGACATTTGGGCTGGTTCCAACTCTTGGCTATTGTAAATAGAGCTGCAATAAACATTGGAGTACAGGTATCCCTTCTGCATGATGATTTCCATTCCTCTGGGTATATTCCCAGCAGTGGAATAGCTGGGTCATATGGTAGATCTATCTGTAATTGAGGGATCTTTATACCATTTTCCAAAAAGGCTGCACCATTTTGCAGCCTCACCAACAGTGTATGAGAGTTCCTTTTTCACAGAAACCTCTCCAGCATATAAGTTAATATATTTATTAAGTTGTTTTAGTTCTAATTGGAATAAAAACTATGTATTTTAAAACTGCCAATTTATATATTATTTTCTCTTAATATTGAGGTGTTGCTTTGCCTCCCATGGATTTGTCACCTCTTTTCCCCTGGGTGACGGAGCCACCAAAGATTACTCAAAGCCCATCTCTTTTGAGCAGTGAGAAGCCCCAGAAAGGGGTTAATATCCCAGGACCCTGAAGCATGAGGCATCCTTCCATTTGGGAAATTAACCATGAATTAGGGTTCTCTTCCTGCATTTATTCTCCAGACCAAGAAGTTAGAGGAAAAGACATAGGTGGGGTTTTGCTAAGTACAGTTTAACAAGTTTTAACAATGGAAGCTGGTAACATTCAGTAAAAACAAGTCAGATGACATTCTGTTAGACAATTAAGTGATCCACTAATAAAAGCTTGATTTAGCAAACATTCCTTCTCCCTCCAGCAGCTTTTTAGTAACTTTACATATCAATCAGTAAGCAGTATGTCTTTGAGCCAGCAGCATTGCTGTGTTATGATTCTTATCTTACAACACAGACTAAATGGCCTGGGGAAAATTTCCTGTCCTTTGCAAGGTCAATATTTGAAACTGCAAGGCTTTGGAAAACCAGGCCCTGTGAAGTACATTTGCTTTATGAATCCTCTACATTGAGGTATATAATAAGTGTCTAGTTTGATCAATTTAATGATTGTAATCATAACCCATATTAAGCTATATAGAATGTTTCCAGCACTCCAGAAACAGCTTTCTGTTTCTTAATTAATACTTCCTTCTAGGGAAGTACTGAGGAAGTAACCACTATTCTGAGTTCTGTCAGCATATATACGTTTTGCCAGTCATGAACTTAATACTAATGGAGTCGTAGGGTGGGTATTCTTTTTTTAAAAATGAGTTTAGGAGAGAAATAATTTAGAATAACTTATTGATTTTCTTGCTATAGTATGGCAGTTGCTCAGGTCATTCAAACTATTTTGGCTACTTGATACTACTTTTAGCAGTTAGGAATATTTGCCACTTTGGTTGAGAGTTGGGTTAGGAACCTGCCTTCCAGGTGGATCCTTTCTGGCTCATCATTTGTTATTTTAGTGCCTCTCAAGCCAAGTTCAAAATGCGACTCTCTAGGTATTGTAGCTCAGATATGGGGCACTTTTTACACTCTATTTTTGGTAAAAATGTTATACAGTCATCTCTTGATATCCACTGGGGATTGGTTCCTTGAACACCTTGGGGTTACCAAAATCTGTGGATGCTCAATTCCCTTATATACATATATATGTAACACAATGTAAGTGTATGTAAATAGTTGTTATACTGTATTTTTATTTATTCATTTATTTTATTGCATTGTATTTCTTTGCCTTTTTTTTTTTTTTTTTTTTAATTTTTGATCTACAGTTGGTTGAATCCATGGTTGTAGACCTGTGGATATGGAAGGCCAACTATGTTTGTTTTGACTTTTTTTTGTTTATTTTATCTCACTATTAATTTACATGCTGTTTCTTTTTATAGGGATAGTCTTTTAGTAAGGACAAAAACTGAAGATATGATATCTCAGCTTCATACTAACCTCTTGGGTTCCATGCTGACATGTAAAGCTGCCATGAGAACTATGATTCAACAACAGGGAGGGTCTATTGTTAATGTAGGTGAGTTTTCACATTTGTGAATTTACGATTGTCCCATAGTACCATACAAATATTTAATCCTCTAATTTGGAACTTATTCACTTGTGAAACTTGTATGAAATTTATTTTTGTGCTATCTGTGGAAAAAAGGGTTTAATTTACTGATTAATGAGTAAAATAGGAATCACAAATTCACATCCCTATAGGGTCAAGGAAGTGTTAAATGAGTGACACCACCAGGTATTAGAAAAATGATAGTACAAGCGATGTGATAAATGACAAAAGATGTCCAGCTTCATTGTCCAAAGACCACATGGAATGATGTAGGTCACCACTGCTCAGATCTAGTAGATTGTTGCTGTACATGAATGTAGTCCCAATTTTGCTGTTAATTTTGATTTTTCAACAGAAATTGGACATCCTGTTTTTTATGTGAAACTTGATTTTTAAAATGTGGACAAGAAATTAAAAAATTATAGACAGTGGGGGCTAAATAATAATGTCTACAGCAAGCAGCTGCACGTGTCACTGATAAATCTAGTGCAGAGGTTTAGAGTTAAACTTTTCGGTTTTTTAGAGTGGATGTAAGTAATCCCCCATTTTCAGTTCATCTGACCTATGGACTGTTAATCCATGATTATGTGCTAGTAGAAAATAAAATGCAAAATGACTTGAAATTTTATTTCAATTTGAAAATAGTGGCATACCATCTGCTTTTTAAGTTGTGATACCTTAAAAGGCTACAAAAGTGGGATGCTATGCCATTAAAGTTCATGATCCTGTGGATCCTCGAACTGGCCAGCCTCCAAAAAAAAAGGAAATGACTCTATTCTTTTTTTTTTTCCTTTTTGTCTTTTTTTTACTGGCCGGTAACGGGATCGCAACCCTCAGTGTCGCGCCCATACTGGGGACCAGCAACGGGATCGCAACCCTCGGTGTTGCGCCCGCACTGCGCTCAGCCACTTAGCAGGAACCGGTCTCCACATGGGATCCGAACCCTCAGAGGGAGCGCCGCCGCACTCCCAAGCGGCGCACTCTCCAGTGCGCCACCGGGCCGGCCCGACTCTATTCTTTTAAATATAGGAAATGGTTTTCCAAGCCAGAATTTAGGGTTTTTGTCTTTTGAAAATGAGAAAGGAAAAGAACACCATGCTAATAAACTAAGGAGACATTGCAACATTTTTGACATGGATCCTTAAAAACGAAAGAGATTAGTTTTCTTATAAAAGGGATTAGGAAATGAGTTGACCTTTGCCTTCAAACACAGCCAGATGGTGTCTGTGTTCTTATAAATGGGCACACAGGCCTGTGTCATCACCTGATGACATGGGGTATACTTGTGTAACTCTAAACTATCCCCTTTTTAGGTATTTTTTAAAAACCCAAATGAGTCCTTCATATGTATGCAGAACATTTAGAACTATACTTAAAGTAAATAAAAATAAGTAATTGAAAATAAAGAGAATCTTATCACAGAAAGGACTACTTTAAACTGCTAGAAACTTCATTGATATTTTAAAAGTTGTCACTTTTTGACCAGAAGAACAGAACTGTGTGGCATGAAGTGAAGCTACTGAAGTTTCCTGTCTGGCCTTTCTTCCTTAACTGTATTTTTCTTTTTCTTCTTTTTTTTTTTTTTTTTTTTTTTTTTTTTTTTTTTCTTTTTTTTTTTTTTTTTTTCTTTTTTTTTTTTTTTTTTTCTTTTTTTTTTTTTTTTTTTCTTTTTTTTTTTTTTTTTTTCTTTTTTTTTTTTTTTTTTTCTTTTTTTTTTTTTTTTTTTCTTTTTTTTTTTTTTTTTTTCTTTTTTTTTTTTTTTTTTTCTTTTTTTTTTTTTTTTTTTCTTTTTTCTTTTTCCGTGTCCGCCAACGGATCGCAACCCTCAGTGTTGCCCCCGTACCGGACCGGGGACCGGCAACGGGATTGCAACCCTCGGTGCTGCTCCCGCGCCTCGCTCAGCCAGTGAGCGGGAACCGGTCTGTATGTGGGATCCAAACCCTTGGGCGGGAGCGCCACCGTGCTTCCCAAGCGGCGCATTTATCCAGTGTGCCACCGGGCCGGCCCCGTTTTCTTCTTTTTTAATCTCTCTGTATTTCCCCTTTTCCCAAATTCTTCCTTCTCTGTCATCTGCATTTCTTCAGTCTGATGTCTTTTCTCTCTGTGCTTCACAGTTCTCTTCTTTTGTCAATAATTGACATACAATAATGTAGATAAAAATTTTAATATTCACCTTGTTGATTATAATAGAAAGAGTATTTAGAATGTTTTCTTTGTCTAAAATAAAATTGCTTTTATATCATAAGTACAGGTCAGTGGTGCAGAAAATTACTTCCCCACTTCTGTTTTGCAATAATTTATTTGCATACAGAATGATATTTAAATTATAAATTATTCTTACATATTCATTAAATGAGGTAAGTCAAGAATATTTAGTAGGCTGTACAAGTTACAATACATCAGTGAAAGTAACGAAATTGCACTTTTACAAAAAGTTTATAATTGAAGCTTCACTAATTTCTTTTTATTGTAATGTAGTTGATTGTACATATCTGTGGGGTACAGAGTTGAATATCAAAACCTGTGTGTAATATGTGATGCTCAAATCAGGATAATTAGTATATTCAGCATTGTCAATGTAATTGTTTCTTGTGGCCCTTTACCAAATCCTCTCTTACCCCTCCCCCCTCCCCCTTTCCTAACTCTGGTAATCTCAGCTTTGCCAATTTAGATTGACTGTAGTTCAAATTTAGTGAGATGTATCGGTAAGTGAACTATTTTTTAGGTGAAAGTGAATACTTCCTTATGTCTGTGTTGTAGAGTCATAAAGTGACTCAGCATTTACCTGACTTTTTCTGGCTTTGACCTCTTCCTGATGGAAGCCATTATAAACACCACAGAATTTTCTCCATACAAAGGTACGTCAAAAAGTTTGTGGAAAAATAGAATTAAAAGATAAAGTGCAATAAATAAATAAAAGATAAAATGAATCTTTCCATGAACTTTTTGAAGTACCCTCATATCTGACTTACTCAGAGATTAGAGTGGGGCCCTTTCACTGTCTGGACCGATTTGCTAGCCCCCTGCCTGGTGTTCATGGTTTCATATCAGCTTCTTTCAGATCCTCTTTTCTGTATGTATCTGGAGCAGACTCGGACTCTAAGTCTTACTCCTCTAATGACAATGTTTAGAATTCCTAATTTTAGTAAAGGACAAGGGTTTTACCTTTTTTGTTTTTTTACTATAAATTTTTTGAATTTTCAGATAACCCCATTAATTGCTTTGAATTTGCTTTCTCTCTTTTTCTTTTTTCTAGGAAGTATTATTGGTTTAAAAGGCAATTCTGGCCAGTCTGTGTACAGTGCCAGTAAAGGGGGATTAGTTGGATTTTCACGTGCTCTTGCTAAAGAGGTATCAAGAAAGAAAATTAGAGTGAATGTAGTTGCACCAGGTCAGTGAAAACTTTTTATTAAAATAACTTTATCGATTATGATTTTTGTTTTATAGAGAAGGAAACCATTAATTGACTTATTATTGGTAGTCATTAACTGACATCTGGGTATAATAGTTTTAAAGTGATTGTGACAAGAATCAAGTAATGAAATGCTGACTAAAACCAAAATTCCTTTGTACCTAATATTTTATATAAAATCTTTATTTTTAAATTTCACACTAATTATGGAATAATTTAAGGTGAAGAGAGCCTTAGAGATAATTTATTCCAGTTGTTTTTTACAGTTTAGAAAACTGAGACCTTGGATTCAGAGTGACTTGCCTTAAGGTTACACAGGTAGTTTATAGCAGAACTGTTACTAAAAGCTTTATCTTTTGATTTCAACCTGAAGATTTCCCTTTAGGTTTCCCTTATATCTTTACAAACTTTGGATCTTTTTGTCCTTTTGCTACTATGTCCTTTAGACTACTGGCTAAATTGTCTGGAACCTTCCAGTTTTCTAACTTTTACCTTTATATTATTTGTCTTTTACCAAGTTACTAGTAGGCAAAATTGCCTAGATTAGTGAAGAGGGTAATAAAAAGATCCTAAAACTCAAATCTACATTATCACTCAGTAGGTGGTATGCTAGAAATTTTGGTTAGGTATTTACTAGATTTTTGAAAAAAAAAAATGTTTTCATATATCTCTACCAGTTTGCCATGGAATCTTCATCCTAACTTACTGTAGGTATTTAAGAATTAATCATCTATATATAAAAAAGATAGTTTATTGTGGTTCACTAGTTGTAGGAAAGAATAGGCTGAAGTGGAACATCTTTCCCTTTCAAGTCAATAATGGCTCCAGCTTGGATCCTAGAATTGGTATTTTATTTGGCACTGATGAAAAGGCAGCAGGAAACAGGGATTTGTCAAAATGCTCTTTTAACCCTTTTGCTCTAAAATTTGCCTTCATCACAATTCACTGTTCAGGCACCGAGACTGGCTAAATTCAGACATTCCAAATCCATGGACATTTGATAAATGACTACGGTTTAGATGCATCAGTTTTTTGGAGGGAAAAAAAATCCAAACGTGCATTGTCATTATCTTGGCACTGCTTTTTATTTGTGTATGCTTTATGTAAGCTGATTGATTTAAGTGTTAGCCTACATCAGCCATCTATGGAGTCAATTATTTGTGGTTTGGAACTACACATATTTGCTTTACTTTCTTTTCAAGGATTGGAATAGTGTGGGTGATGAGGAGTTGATTGTAGTTCATGATGATTGAAAAGCTGATTGGTTTAGGGGTGGTGCAAAAGTTCCTAACTTACAGTAACTCATGCAGCAAACTTCCTGGAGTGTCTCTTAAGTGTAGGGGCTGTGCTAGATCCTGAAATTATAAAAATGAGCAAGATATTTCTACCCTAAGAAGCTAAGTATAGTGGGAAAGACAGACATATAAACAAATAATTACAATGTTGTGAGGAATGTAACACAGAGGTTTGTGTGTTATGCTATGGAAACACTGAAGAAGGAATGCTTGATTTTGTCTAGAGTAAATTAGTTGTCAAGGCAGTGGGCTAAATAGTGGGAATCCAGTTTGTATACAAAGGGGAAGTTTCAAGAGTGTTACTGAATGTGTTATAGCCTTTCTTAAAGATCTTACTTTCCAGTGCAATTTATACTACAGGTAAAAACATTTTGCTAAAAATGTGGCCACTTAACAGGGTGACCTTTATTATATTATATTGGTTATATATATCTAGCAGGTGTCATAGTATGAATATACTTCATTGGTCAGAAGCAAAGTATAAGTTGAATAGTAGAATTAAATCAGCCGTATGAATTATTTATTAACTTTATTTTGGTAGTAATTTCAACCACATTCTTTAACGTATCTTTTAACAGAACTAATAAATATCAGAGTTAATAAATATATTTCTTTTATGTCAGTTTTCCCAATCACCTTTAAATGGAGGTTTTAATTAGCAGGAAAATAGTTAAAAAAGCAAGTCATAACAGGAAAAGCAAGGAACAAGCAAATTAATAAATTAGGCTATCATTCATAGTTGACTGTCTTTAAAAATTAGTAGTTGCTAAACGTTGGTATTACTTTAAATATAAAATAAACTTTTCATCATGGATAAATCTTACTGATTGGAAAATAATGAAGATTGGAAGCAGAATATATGATAAATTGAAACCGTAATGGATAAATTACTTTAACAAATACAATATATTATATGTGTTTTGAGTAGATAATACATATATATTGTACAAAATTCAGAAGTACAGAAGGCATAGAGTGAAAAGCAAGTCTTCTGTCCTGTAGACACTCAGTTACTTTTCTTAAAAGCAACCACTGTTAACTAATTTCTTCAGTATTTCATATATAAGCCAACAAAATGTGTGTGTGTGTGTGTGTGTGTGTGTGTGTATTCACAATGTTCTGTACCTTGCTTTACTCATAGAACAATATATCTTGGAGATGAGTCTATATTATTCCATACAGAGCTGCTTCACTTTGTAAAATTATAGCTTTATGGAAATATAACTCACATACATACAATTCACCCATTTAAAGTGTACAATTCAGCAGTTTTAGTATAGTCACAGAATTTTCAATCATCATCATAATAAATTTTAGATCATTTTCATCATCCCAAAAGAAACCCCATACCCTTGAGCATTTGCTCCACATTTCCCTCCAGTCTTCCTTGCTTCTGGCAACCACTGAACTACTTTGTCCCTATATATTTGCCTATTCTGGACATTTCATATAAATGGAATCAAAATATTTGGTGTTTTGTCAATGCTGCATCATCACTTTTTAGTGGCTGAGCTAAAGCGGACAGTAATATCTGGTTTTAACCTGTTGCCTCTTGATGGGCATTTAAGTTGTTTCTGATTTTTTCTCTTGCAACTAATGATGCAGTGACCACACTCGTGCTTAATTTATTTTGCACATTTGCAAGTATGTGAGTGTAATCCTGTGGATGGAACTGCCAAGACTCAAAGTGTATATGCATTTTTAATTATGACAAATAGTAAAAGCATTGCATTTATTTCTGTAGGGTACCTTAAGTGTTTTTTTAAATTATTTTTTAAATTTTTACTACTCGGAGATAATCTTGTTGACAAATGCTTGCATAAGCTTGGCAGCTACTCAGAGCAGATATTACTCTGAGTGCTTTTATATGCTATTTGGCGTGGAGTTGATTTGTCACGTTGCTTCCCTCTTACAAACATTGTATTAAGACATTGGTCTAGTTTTTGGCAAGAACCTTGTTTCTTTTCCCTTAGAAAAGTGTCTGGGGTTATTTTTCTTCTTTCTAGTAGAAACTAATACCAGAGCATGAACATCTGAGCTGGTAGATAAATAGTTCACATCCTACAATTGTTATTACTGGTGATAAGCTAAAATCCTGGTGTCTTATTTAAAATCTCTGCTGTATGAAAAATGTTGAAAACTAAAAGAGTGACCTAGTAATATGGAAATGAGATGTTGCTATTTATTTATACCACACAGCTAGTCAGACATGAATAAAGGAAATACCTTTCCTTTAGAATTTATCAAATACAAATTCTCTGTGGACAAGAGCCATGCACTTGTTTTTATAAGCCAGAGTGTCACTGTTCCTAAAGAGTTAACATTAAAAAAAATAGTGTACTGTGTGTGTCATCATGTACACGAAACTAAAATAGAAGTGTCCTTTTTCTAAGTTGGTTGAGTGCATGTCATATCAGTTATCTATTTATTGATTTAAGGAGTGATAACTTTGTAACCAGTTGGAAAACTCTTACTGTCCAAGTGATGCAATAACATTATTTGTTGGACAGTGGCACCTACTGGTAGTTTATAATTTTTATAGCCTAGCTCGAAAGGCATTGTAAATACATACCTAGTAAGAGGAGGAGTAGAACAAAATTTCCTGAGTTTTATATATAGAGTGAAAGACTGAAATGGCAGAGAGTCCTTTGGAGCCAAGGAGAGAGAGAGCAGAAGTGGAAAGCAATACACACACAGAGATGGGGGTGTGGGATGTCTGAGGACTGGTGAGATCTCTTTTCGGGTCTATGGTATATGGTATAGTACCCAAAAGACTTTATATTTAGAGCCCTAGGTTGTGAATATATTAATAAATGAGGATCACATGGTTCATGAGCTTTAACTTAAAATGGCATTGAAATTTGTTAGAGGCCAGAGTAATTTATCATTAGAGACTATTCACATTTTTAATTTAATTTCTGATAAGCTGAGGATAGATATATATGAGTTGTAAAAAGCTGCAGATAAATTAGGGTGGTAAAACTATTCTGTATGATACTGTAATGGTGGATACATGACATTATGCATTTGTCTAAAACCATAGAACTGTACAACCTAAAGAGTGAATCCTAATGTAAACTGTGGACTTTACTTAATCATGTGTCAATATTGGTCGTCAGTTGAAACAAATGTACCACACTAAGGTAAGATGTTAGTAAGATGTTAGAAGTAGAGGAGGGGTGTGATAAGGGGATATATGGGAGCTCTGTGTACTTTCTGCTCAATTTTTCTGTAAACCTAAAATTGGCCTAAAAAATAAAGTCTATTAATTTTTTAAAAAGCTGCAGATAATGATGAGAGAAAGACTCTTGGGACATGTTCTGACATCGACTTTACTTTTAGTGCTGAGTTCAGTGATGCCTAGCAGCTGTCCCATGAGGTTTGTCATTCCAAGTATCCATTCATAGGTCTGGGGCAGGCTGGGGCAAGCTTCCCCTAATGAAATAACACCCTTATCTTCTGAGCTTGAGCAGTGAAGGGAGTATTTTCATGTAAGTGGGTGGCTGAACATTACAATCCCAGTTCTGGACTTTTTGTAATTATGCTGGATTTAGAGGGCACCAACCACTCTTTCTTTTACAAATCAGGCCTAATATGAACACAGACCATAGTAGAGCTGAATTCAGGCTACAGTGTTTAACAAGACCTTATTAAAGGCTTCAAGATATTAGCCTTTATCTGTTCCATGTATCTGGTTTACTTGGTTGTTTTTGGAGGATCACAGTCTGTCCTCACAGCTCATATCTATTTGCCAGAGGACATCTCTCCATCTCACTGGGATTGTCCTTGAACTTGTCTCACTGCCTATCCGAGGTTTGCCTTCCAGTACCTCATGTCTTGTTCTAGATCTGCTTGTTTTCCCCAAGGTGAAAACACCTTCAAATGGCCTCTTTGTCCCAAAAAGGGCAAACATATCAGAAGTAACTTTCACCCAGAAGCAGGGCAGATCAGTTCCTTTCAGCGCAGCCTAGATGAAAACCTAGATTAACATCAGTGCTTCTTGAATTGGAAGTGTTTTAACCTGCACATACTCCAGTGTAAGAACTCGGGGTCCTTTTAGGAGAGCTGACTTTCCTAAACTTCAAATAAATTTAGGCAGTCATGAAGACTACTTAATGAGGCATACTTTTCATCTTTGAATCATAGTGATGTAAAGCTGAAAGAAACCCCAGAGATCTATCATTTCCAATCTGCTTCATTTCATTTTATGATACAGAGGCAGCCATACAGTTTTAGATAGTACATGACTTTCCTCAGGTCATAGTTTTAATAGTGTTAGCAGACCAGGGAATAGCATCTGGTTTAATGTGTCTATTCCAGTGGCCTTTTTTTTTTTTTAACTGCAAAATGCTGTCTTTGAGAACACTACCAGAGCCAGTTAGAAGTTGAGCCTTACAAATTATTTCTACTGTAGTTTATTGTTGTTTTTGTTTTTTAGATTAAAACACATCATTGATTTTTCAGAGAGTTAGTGAGAGTTAGTGGGGAGTATTGTATGCCAACTTTGCTAGAATCCAAAAAGACCTTAGAGAGTAAAGGATAATTGTGTCGTGAACTCTGAGAAGATAACGTGAACTTTTAAATGTCACATTTATAATTTTAATTCATTCAACTTCTATGGCAAATTCGAGGTAAGTTTTCTTCCTAGGAAACTCTTTGAAGCACCTTTGAAGATAAGCATATCACCAAACAGAAAACTTTGGGTATCAGAAACTCCCATGATACTATTCTTAAGATGATTGGATTGCCTATTGATTATTATGGCTCTTCACTGTAAGTTAAATTACATTTACAGTTCACTTAAAATTCTGCAGAGGCTGGTTATCATAGTGTCAGCTGTTCGTCCTTTTATTACATTTTTTTCTAGCCGTCTTACTGTTCTTAAAGATCAAAGGGAGTGAAGGAAATGTTGCTGACTTAAAGTAAATCTAACATGGAAGAGGAGATTGTATCTCACAATGTAATGTCACAGTGAAACATACAAATAATGCGAAATTAGTTTTGTTATTCCAAGCCCCCATTACTGACCATCTGAAGTTAATACAGTGTATCTTTTTTCAATAATGTTTTATTTGAATACAGAAAGTGATATATATCTGTTGTAGACAGTTTGGGAAGAACAGAAAAGTATGAAGAAGAAAATAAAAATCAACACCTGTAATTCCAGTATATAATGATATTCACTGTTAATATTTTAGTATTTTTTTTAGTCATTACTATATATTAGTTTTTGTTTTATTTGTAATAGTGGTATAACTGAATTTATTTGTAACCTACTTTTTAAAATATACAAATGTTATTTTTTTCATTCATTTTAAATATCTTTCCATAGCATCATTTGTAATACCTGCATATTATTCTATTGCGTGTATGTATCATGATTATTTAACCATTTCCTTATTGAAAGACATTCAGCTTGTTTCCAGCTAATAAAACTGTCACTGTCATAGGCTTCATGTTAGAAAAATCTATGATTGTTTCTCACAAGACTTTTAAGAAAACGTTTATATATTTATAAGTGAAAACCTAAGGGGTATTGCATAAGAAACAGTGGCCTAATGTTAATTCTTAATCCTATATTTAGTTCATATTTATTATGATACTTTATTTATTTTTTGGGTGGCTGGCTGGTACAGGGATCAAACCCTGGACCTTGGTGTTATCAGCACGCTTTAACCAACTGAGCTAACTGGCCAGCCCCTTATTATGGTACTTTAAATGGCAGTATATTTAGTTTGATTTGTAGTTTGAATTATGAATGATTTAGTTTTAACATAAACCAGTTTAAAACTGTTTTTGAGATTGCACATTAAACTTTCATTTTGCATGTCGTGTTTAACTTTTAGTCCATCTATTTTTTGTGACCTTGAACTTTTGTTTTTCTAATTATTGTTCCTTTCATGAGGATTACTATTTGCTTTCTTTTTAAAAGCCTAAATAATTGAGTAGTATAGAGAATACTGATAATATGGGTTAAGCATTTTATTAGGAATATGTATTTGTATGTCTAAGACTAATCTTACAAGATTTTCTTAATAAATCTACAGTTTTTCCTGATATATGAGGGTACTTCAAAAAAATTCATGAAAATATTTGCATTATCTTTTAATTCTATTTTTTCATGAATTTTTTTCAAGTACTGTTGTACTTTAGAACATGTTCTCTGCAAGCTTTATTGCATACACCAATGTCATATTAAGTTTTGAATTTTCTGTGTATACTTGCATCAGAATTGGATATAACCGTAGTTTTTTTTTCTTATATGAATATTGGAAATACTGGCCTTTCTAACCATCAGCATTCTTAACTATAGCATATGGAACTAATTTTTGCCAGAGCTGCCAAATCAGTTTATGTGACCACCTTTGAGATGCCTTCCTTCCCTCAACACTACTTCCCACTCTATTTTGTATATCTCTATAAGGCTATTCACTAAACTTTCTTACATCATAATTAAGTGTGCAAATGACTTTTCCTCCATAAATTATAGATTTCTCAAGAAATTGAATTTTGTTTTATTTATGTTCTTATCTACCCTCTTACATTTTGCTAGGAACTGGGCCAAATACTTGGGGGTCAGATATTTTAGTGATCAATAAATGTTAGTTGAGTTAAGTTGAATAAAAATGTAGACTTGGTTACTTGATTACTAACAAAAGTCTACATTTTCTAAAGAAGGTTTTATTTAATAATCTCAAATTCTCAGGAGGAAATTTGTTTTTTTTTTTTGAAATTGAGCAAATGTCTTAGTGTCTACCTTTTCAACTAAATAAAACGTTTCTCTTTTAGGATTTGTTCATACAGACATGACGAAAGACTTGAAAGAAGAACATTTAAAGAAAAATATTCCTCTCGGGAGGTTTGGAGAACCTGTTGAGGTGGCACATGCAGTTGTGTTTCTTTTAGAATCACGATATATTACAGGGCATGTTCTAGTAGTGGACGGGGGGTTACAACTCGTGATGTAATTTACAGATTATTCAGTTATAATGATGGTTAGAATCAAGGACACACTTTGGCTATTAATTAAACAATCATACCTACATGGATGACATTTACTAATGAAACCTACTGGTGCTACAAATGTTGATTTCCATCTTTATGTGAATATGCCTGAAAAGAACAGTGTGTGACCAGTTGTGTTTTTTAAAAGGGCATGTATCATCTATCTTTGGTTACCTTATGGACTGTAGCAATTTTAGCATATAGACATTTTGCATGATGTATAAACAGATATTAATTTATATATTTTGCCTCAAAGGTAGGAAAATATGTATTGTCTAATCATGATGAGTTATTTCATTGTATTAGGCTGAATTTTCTAGAAGTTAACCTTGGGGGCCATTGCCAAAATAAGAATATTTATAGGATGTTGATTAGTTGTGGATACTTCAGCAACTTGCTGAAAATAAACATTGTATGCCTTTTACATGTGGTTGGGTGATCAATTTTTATACAGGTTAGAAAAAATAATATCAATTAGATAAAGACATGAATTTAGAGTTGATTTCTTCAAATGGTATTACTTTTGATTGAGCAGCTGGGCAAAATAATCTGCAAATGTAAGTGTGGTACAACTGATCCAGTCTATAGAGATTCTCACAGGTGCTGAGGATTAACCCTTATCTTAAAGTTTTAATATCTGATACAGTAACAAGCCACATAGAACTCATAAACTTAAAAAGTGTTTTTTGATACACAAAAAACTCAGTATAACGAGCTACTTAAAAACAGTATAAGAAATATAACATTTTAAAAATTTAGAGGATTTTGCATTACTGAATTTAATAATGATTCTTACCCTAAAATTTTAGAAAGGTAATAAATAATTACTTCTGAACGATCAAAAATAATAAGTAAATATGCAATAACAATGAAGTAAATTTCTTTACAAGAAACAGTTAAAGCATTAGTCTTAAAAGAGACTATTTACTTGGGAAGAGAGAGAAAGACACAAACTGAATGTAAAATATCAGGCAACATCTATTTTGTACTGAGTTCTTTGAGGAATAGTGTGATATTTGTAGTGTCACTGAATTCACATTGATTTTTATTATTTGTCATTTTTCAAAATATTTTAAGTATTATATTTTAAAAAGTAATCTCTTTAGAGTGTTTGGAGCTGAATACTATTTTATGTAAGCAGACATTTATATTGAAAGTGCAAAGATATGAATAGGATATACTAATAAATATAATGTAATAATAAAGTCAAAGCAGTGTTCTAAATCAAGATTCCTAATTCCTTGAAATTATTACAGATTTATCCTTTTTTGTTTTTTAAAGATGACTGGTAAGGGGATCTTAACCCTTGACTTGGTGGTGTCAGCACCACGCTCTCCCAAGTGAGCCAGGGCCAGCCCTCAGATTTATCTTTGACATAGTCTTCTTTTTGTTTTGTGTTTCTCTCTTATTTATTTATTAGTATGAAATAGCTTTCTTAGATTAATCTATTCAGGATATGAGAAAGACAGTTCAGAGTGAGTAAAGTTAGTATTATTAAACAAATTGTTTACTAAATGCAAGGCATGGTAACATACAGAATTTATCAGGTATTAACAATTCCAGGCACATATAGGAAATGCAGTACTGGGGATGGTTTCGAATGTGGTAGCCGCTGATTATAATTATGCTAGAGGAGTTTATGCAGACAGCATAGTAGTTCTTTTAATGCTGTCTCACCTGCTGGCCTTTGGCTACCTGCACTTCATTATGGCATCTTACTTAGGCTTGAGTTCTCTTCTCTAGACACCTCATCAGCAGTGAGGCTGATTCAACTGATGATTGGGAAGAAAGCAATCATGTATTTCACTGACACTAACTTGTAGGTTACAGATAGGCTTAACCTTTAAGGGTGTATATTTACATTTTGAAATAAGAAGTACTACCTTTTAAACTATTTCATCCCTTACCTCAGCCCATATCAAACTGGTGGAATATATAGAGAGATCTTGGAATAGGTAAAAGGTAAAACTTCACTGTGCCATTTGCAATGAATTCTCCACCCACTCCCACTGAGGCTGTAGAATTTGTAATTTAATACTTGCATTCTATTTCTGAAATTATTTGCCAGAAGTTCAAGAACTTCAGTGAATTTTTTTTCTTGGAAGCTGGCCAGTGTGGGGAACTGAACCCTTGACCTTGGGGTTATAAGGCTTTGCTCTAATCAACTGAGCTAACTGGTCAGACTTGAACCTCACTGAATTCTTTACAAGAAGAAGACTTAGCTATAGCTGTTATGTAACTCTTATGAAGCCATATTCCAGTCCATGTTTAGCATTTTTTTTAAAGAAAATGGTTTATGATTAAGGCCAGAGTATTAAAAGTTTTGCACAGAGGATGTTTGTGCTCCTTTTTCATACTTTTATTCATATTCAATTTATAAGATTTTAACTGCTTTTTAGAGATATAATTATATGTTATACATTACTTTGGGAGGAATAATCTGTGAAAAGAGGATTATTTAATTTATATGCTTCTATTCCTCAGAATAAAGAGAGAACGCTATTCTGGATATTTGAGAGTTATGCCTTTCATTGCTGTAACTTTTCTACCTAGTAGACATAATGCAGGCTGGTCTCCTTCCTCTTTCTCTTCTCTGCTATGAGAGTATTTAAAAAAATGTCTTTCCCCCCTTGGGCACTGTGCCATCTCACTCCTGGTTTCCCTCTTTTTCTGGTCATTCCTTCTTGATTTCCTTTGTGTGCTCCTTTTACTCTGGGAGTTCTGTCCTGGGCTGTCTTTGTATTCAGCCCATTTCCATTAGCAGTCTGACCATTCTTACAGTTTTATAAACATGCCAACAGTATCCAAGTATATCTTCAGTTTCTTCTGCATAGTTTAGACCATATATTTAAGTATATTCTGGCCATATCCTTTTGAATATCCTACAGTTCAGTCAAATCCAGCATGTACAAAATGTAACTCATCATCTTTCTCTGTTAAGTAGCATTTCTTCTATGTTCTTGATCTTAATATTCACTCAGTTATTTAGTGGATCAAGCCAGAGACCTGAGTACCATCCTTGAGTCTTTCTTCTCTTCCATCCTACTTAGTCATTCATCAAATCTTATTAATTCTAGCTCCTAAGCAACCTTGAATTCTTCCAACTCCTTCCATTCTGATATTCATTAATCCGGTCCGGACCAGGAAAGTTGTATCAGCAGTGTATCAGAATGCCTACTTTATAACATCTTCACCTGTCTTGAGCTATCAAAACATTTTGCAAATTTAATACATGGTTGTGCATTTTTCCACATTTTTGATTAACCTCTTCCTCTTTTATAAATTCATACCCTTTATCCATTTTTCTTTTGGGATCTTACTCCCCCCCCCCCCCCCTTTT